CACAAAACTTCACTGAATGCCGAGACCGTAGGATGTTTATTCTCTTGCCTTCTCTCACGACAGTTCTGGCTTGTTGGGTTGAAAGCCAGCATTCCTGGGCTTTTCCTCCCAGTGTTTCTCACACCGCCCAAGCTAAATTTATCACATTTTTTAAAAATATACGTATTTCTCGCGCCCGCCATGGATGAGGCGCCGCAACTTCCTGTTCTGTAGGCACGCCATTGCCTCAGGTACGAGTAACCTTTTTGCGCTGAGCGATCGGGTGAGATTCATCTCAAAACCTGCTCATTTCATGATACCCTCCTTACGAGGAGCTCTGGGAAACAGTGGGGCGTACTGTTCAGAAAAGCAGGTGTACGGGGATATGGATAAGCTACGAGGGCAGTCTGTTGCCGATGCGCTATCCGGTTCGAGTTGTTCCGTGCCTTACATTCAACTCACTCACCTCGATTCATTCATCCATCAGCTCAGCATGTACCGCCTTCTGTTCGGATCGGTTCCAGTCGGGTGGCTGTCGTCAACATTGACAACCACCTCATTTCGAGCACTCTCTGTGCGCGCACGGCTCCAGACATATTTTTATTTGTTGTTGGGCAGTGGTGTCCAACGGTGCATCGGTCAGCTGGTTTGTCTTCCTTACCTGTCCTCACTGAGGTCGCCCCTCGTGTCCCGCACTAGAATAATTTTCAATACATCCCAGTCATCGCTCATTGTTGCTTGCCTGCTGCTTCTACTCGGTTACTTAGTTACCACTAGCGACACTTACTGCTCGGCGAGCGCATTGCCTCTCCCTTATTTGGCCCAGACATTAAGCTCTTTTGCTGCAGATCTGCGCTTTTGGCTGAGACTCATTGCTTCATTCGTCGCTTCCAGCTGCTTCACTTTTTTCGTGTCAACAACAGTCGTGGAAGATACGAATTTTTGCGATTCACACCGCTTTCCTCTAGGACTGATAATTTTCATGTCTGAATATTCTCTTTGATAGCATCTGTCTGGATCCAAGTCTTACAGAGCCTCGCAAAGAATAAGTGCTAAGCTGAGCATGCGCACTGCCGACTAAATGCGAAGCTCATCTGAATGCTGAAAACTACCTACTTCGCTCACACATCCTGATCACTCATTTCGGTCCTGTTAATTTTTTCGGGATTTTGGAAGCGCGACGATCGGTCAGAGAGATTTTATTACGCAATAATGGCCTGCACTTTACAATCACTACGAATTGGCCGAAGATTTGATGCGATTGGCCCAGTGGAAGAAACACCAATCGACGCCACCCTCTTCAATGTTCAGGAATTGAAAGCTACCGCCGAACTAATGTGCCCGAAAAAGAGCGCTCTGCTAGCTTATCGACTGTACAAATGCCGTGATAAGCTAGTTAGCTTTATCGATGGATCCAAGGGGCAATACAGAGTACGTTGTCTTTTTGGTCAGATTTTCTGCCACCTGGATATCCTTACAATATTTCGATTTCTGGATGAATTTTTAGTGGTGAATGTTTGTGTATGTATGTGTACATTGTCTTTGCGTTTGTGTGTGGCGGTGTGTATAGATATGTAGTGTGTGCTTGTATGTGCGCACATCTTTGTATGTGTAT